TTCACGGTTGCTCGAAGCACGGTTAAGCGCGTTATTATTCGGATAACATTGCCCAGTCGCTTCTCGGCCCGATTCACGGGCACATATCGTTCCGCCGATTAGATCCAGCAGCAGCTGGATCCCGCGCCGCGTACTAAAGTAAGCGTTAGTTTAAGTTCGCGAATAAAGCCAGAGTCGTTAGCGTGACCCCGCCTTTACCTTCGCGTAGCCGTAGTATAACTAGAGTATAAAGCGCGTTCTCACTGTATATAAACCGCCTAGATCTAATCTCGTTCCTTTATTGTAGACCGCTGAGCGAAGCGTCCTCATCGTACTCTTCGAAGAATAAATAGTATTGTAGATAATACCGCCTAGTTCATTTATCAGTACCCTTCCCTTAGTTTAAATACGCGGACGAGTCGTCGGCACCACTTTGGCACCTATCAGTGGCTCGGCCGTACCACCCGTTACAAACCAAACGCGGAGTTAATGCGCCTACGTCGACGCTTATTTTTTTTTTTTTTTTTGTTGGTTTTTACGTTAGTTTTCTCTGTCTACTTTTTGTACACGCGTCATAGAGCGCCCCCGCGGAGAAACGACACCGGGAAGGAAACGAATGAATAACAGAGCAAAAGGAAGGGAAACGAACGAGACCCAACTCTAATTACCTTTTAATTAATTAACTCCTTAACATAAAATACTAATGTGAATGTTTTTCAAAAGGGAAGTGATGTTTTTTGAACTTCCAGGAGCAGGTGGGAACGACATTTTTTGAGCCCCACGTACGGTGTACTTCAACCTCTACGCATTTTGTGGTGCATCAGACATAAACAATTTTTGAAAATGCTTGCAAATATTTTATATGAATGTGTTTTTGATTCCTTTACAGGAACGGATCTCGCTCTCGCTCCTAAATCCTTCCTCTCTAATCTCTCTCTCGCTCTCTCTCTCTCTTCTGTCTCTCTCTCTCTGTCTCTCTCTATCTCTCTCACCGTCCATTCTGTTTCTCTTATCTCTCTTATGCTCTACTTTTCATTTCCCTTTGGTTCGTTTCTTATTCTACGTCTGCTTTTGTTCGACGACCTTTTCTTTCCACTTTGCATTTTGCTTTGTACATGAATGTAAAATTTACGTCGATTATAATTTTTGTACAAGTAAAAGATGTAACTTTTCGAATTTGCATTTTGTTACGATGAGACGTTGGAACGACGCTTTTGATTTTTGTATTTCTGCGTTCTCTACCTTTACTGGTCTTTATTTTTCCGCGTTCTTTTGCATTTTGTATATTTTTCTCTGTCGACACTTTCTCTGTCTAACGTTTCCCAACTTTCGTCCCCTCTGTGCTCCCAGCAAACCACGACGTGACTGACAATGAGCCAAAAAATAAAACCGGAAAAAAAAGAAACGAGAGACGATTTTTTGCCGAGAGCGCAATAACGAATAAAAACCGTAAGAAATCTGTCCGTGGTGTGACGTTTTTTCTTCTGTGATTGAGGCGGCATACCACTGTCGTAACGAAACAGAAACGGAAAAAAAAAAAAATATATATATACATATATAATGCAGATCTAATAAAACACACGCTCGACGAGGCAACGTAACAAATAAACCATAAAACAATTTAAATGTAACATAACACGGTAAAAACGTCCATCGGTTTTTGAGTGTCGTTAAAACGAAAGAATCAGACGAGGGATCGTCATAATTTTTTTCCTTCTCTCTGTAACTCCGGAACACCCTTCGAGTCCACCTGGTCCCGTACCTCGAGCTCTCTACTTCTGTATCTATATTTTCACTTTCACTCTAATTCTCTCGGTTTACTTCTCTCTCGCTCTCTCTCTCTCTCTCTCTCTCTCTCTCTGTCTCTGTCTCTCTCTCTTTCGATCAAACTCTTTCTTTCTCACGTCACCTTGTTCCTCCTCTGATGCCACTTTAAACGCATTCTTGCTTGCATGCAAATATGCCTGCATTGGTTGATTTCGTAAAGGAACTAATTTGAATTTCTTATTGTTTATGTTTGTGTTCATTGCACCATTTACTTTCTTCGGATTTGATGATGACAAAAAAAAGGGCTGTTTTCCAGTAAGTAGGAACTACATTCTTGTGTTTTCACACTTTGCATCGAGAACACCAAAATGAATGAAGTATAACATGATCGAGACGATCATTGTTATACCGGCGCCAAAGACAGATTAAAGAAAACCGGTGAAAAGAAAAGAAAAAGAAGAAAAAAAAAAAAAAACGATATTAAGTATGAGTATTTGTTGCAGTATATAAAACATTAGAGCGCATTTCCGTTTGTATTATTCAACATGTATATTCATACAAATCATTATTTCGATTATTTTGTTCGCCTCTGTTGTTCTATGATTAATTAATTATTGTCACTCGGAGACGTCACTCTTGTTTCATTTTTTTGTATCGCTCTCTCTCTTTCTCTCTATTTCTGTCACTCTTTCTATCACTCTGGCTCTCATTCTCTCTTTCTCTATCTCCGTCTTCGATCAAATTTTTGTTACTGTTCTTTTCGTTTTAAAAATATCGAATAACGTCACCACGCGAGATGTACCTGTCGTACGATTTTCTCTTTACTTTCGTTACGTTCTCTTCTTATTTATTTTATTTTCAATGTAATCGAATCGTGTCATACCGTATCTATTTTTTTGTTCATTCTATCGTTATCCTGGTCTCAAGTGTATCCGCAGATGAAAGACCCCTTTATCATTAAAATAATGCCGATAACGTGTTCGCTGCCTTCTAATTAATAAAAATGAATTATCGCTCGTTTCAAAATTGCAACTGACTTCGATTCGACCAACAAAGTCGTACGAGTTCTTACTACCCCATAAACGTTATCGGCAAGAGAGTACTGCCAAAAATTCTTACACAATCTGGAAGATCTTTAAAAAGAAAAAAACAACTATGCGTAATACAGTGTTGATTGATTCGAAATCATTCATGTTCATTATTGTGCAAAAATGTTACTGGGTAAGTATTTCTCATGAAAATTTTTTCCTGCAGAATTCAGATGTGTTGAACCATTAATCGCCAGAGCGACGTACGAACTGATTCGATAATAATAGAAATTTTCAGGTTATTGGCAGACGCGCAGAAGATTACCGCTAGATCTTGCCATTAAACAAAAAAAAAAAAAAAAAAAACAAAAAATGAATAAGAGGTCTGGAAAAAGCGGATACCTACGAGACTCCGTGGTCCTTCACTCTCTTCTATCTCTTTCGTTTCGTTTTGCGATTAAGAGATACCCTCCGGGTCGTCCGATCGACGATCCAAGTTAATCGCGCTCGCCACCGAGTGACTTGTCTCTCTCTCGTAAACGTCGTCCGGAAACAAAAATATATATGTACATGTAAACGAAAAAAGAACGAACAAAAAAGAGGTGCAAAAAAAATATGCAAGGAAAACAGAACGTAAAAAAATGAACTTAAAAAAAAAAAAAAAAAAAAAAATCCGCCAACAACAGTCCCAAAAAAATTGTCCTGTGAGTTGACGGCCCAATGTTTTGCCATTAGCGTGACAGCTATCGCCTGCGAGTACGGGCCTCCGACAGAGGGACGTCAGTGTTGAGCGCAGACGTGGACGTTGAGTTAGACGTCGTAGACAGAAACAATAAACCACCTGTGTGGGATGCGAATGTATACGGCCCCATTCACATCAAAGAAAATGTCACAGTGGGTACTGTAGTGACGTCGGTGAAAGCCAGGTTTGTATGCCACGACATGACCGAGACAAGACACGTGACATGCCGTGCCGTGCCATACACTGCTGCTCCCATTCCTTTATTTTTATTTATTTTTTTTATTTCTTTCAATATCTTCTCACTCCGTTCGCTACCGATCGCCTCTCTCTGTCATTTCGGTTATCTCTTTACTCTCCGTTTCATCATTCTGGCATTCTCTTTTCTCTCATCCTCTGTTCGCTATTAATACCAATACGTTCACCTGTCGTTACGTAGCTTCACGTCTCTACACGTCTCTATCAAAATCGGTTCACATTGTGTCGTAATTACGTACAGTTTCATTTCTCTATGAGTATGTTATCCGTTCGTTTGATTCACTTCGTAGCGATCTCCTATTTATTTTTACACATGATGCATTTTACGGGAGAGGAAGCATGTATGGTTAAGCGCGGCGCGGTAGATCGCTGATTGGTCGGACACTCCTACTACTACTACTACCTACTTACTACTACTGTTACTACAACTACTACTACCATAACTATACTATTACCACTATCTATCCCCTACTTATGTTAATTGTTACCAATCACCGGCGCCGGTTCCCGAGGCATCCGTCGGTGAACAAATGCAAACACTACATATCTGCAGAGAAACAGTTTTAAAACGAGCTGGAGGGCTGGTCGGGAACCGGTCCCGGCGACTTTAGCGGAAAACATCCTTAGACGTGTACGAGTTCGGAAAACCCGGATGCCGGATTGTCCTTAGCGCGATGATCCGTATAAATGTATAGGGTAGGCGAGGAAGTAGCGAGAGTGATCGAGGGTCCCGAGCTTGATTGGGACGCTGGTTCGTCCCGATTGTTTCTTCTTGTTCACGAGGTGCAGTACAGAGAGACACGCAGGTGCAGAAGCGGGCGCATCGGCGATCGACGAGAATTACCTTCTCTTACGGGTGGCGTTTCAGCACGCTCGGCTTCCGGTTGGCGCTAGTGCCCGCTTTGCTTAGAATGTAATCGCGCTAAATGTAAGGTAGAGCGGCTAATCGGAAAAGCAGACCGTGCGGAAGAGGTCCGCCGACGCCCGTCGGCGAACCGTTATGTAATCTAGGGGTGAGACACGGCGCGATCACAGAAGAAGCAGGATGCTACACCAGGGTGCGCAATTATTTACGCGTGCGGCAGAGAATTGAAAAGACGGGAGACAGAGAAATATATGTGTGTGTACGCGACAGAGGCAGACGCCGTCTGAACAACGGAGAGGGAGATAGAGAGCGAGAGACACTCGATGGAAGGTCCTCTCCTGCGTCTGCTCCTCCCGAGACGAAACTGTACTCACCGACACGAGTAATTACGACCGACACTAACGACATGTTGTTTTTTGTTCCCGTTTGTTATACGCGGTCTGGTGTAGCGTGAGATGTACAAACTGGAAGCGATGGCCCAAGACAAGGGCTTCCCGCCCTTGTCGCGAACTGTGGAGGTACAGATTGACGTTGTGGACCGTGCGAATAATCCGCCCGTATGGGACCACATAGTGTATGGGCCGATCTACTGTAAAGAGAACACGGCCGTTGGGGCTAAAGTTGTGTCTATTAAAGCCAGGTCTGTCACACTGTTAATGCTCCGTGCGGCTCTGCACGAACCCGCCCTGCACGCAATCTCGTGGCAGTATTGTTCTTGTGCACGTTAATTGATATTGTGTACGATTCCATACACGTACAGATACACAGACACACACAAATACATCTATACTGACATACACATGTGTACAGGCGAGCGCGTACGCTGTACGCGCGCGCGTGTTATTCATGATCAATTAGTTAGCGATGGGCTTGAAGGCGTTAATTAGTCTCGAATCGCTTTCCACGTGAGGGACGTGCTGGTAGTATCGTTCGAAAGTTAGAAGCAGTTCGATATGATCCACGAAGCGGTAACTCAATGCTGTTCACTTGGATAGCCTCGGATAGTTAAATAGCTCAATATAAATACATTACTTTTTCTTATGAAATTGTATGTAATATGAATAAAGTAACATAGATGTCTAAAATAATGAAGTGTAGAATTGTTGTGAATTTTTCTTTGATCTATCACAAAGTATCAATTAACTTAATTCTTGAGGCTATTCACGTGGACGCCAGAAGCCTGTATTTCCAACAACGTATTTTCCAAGTATCCCAGTATTGATGGTACAACCGTGGAGTGGGTGATTGTACCTAAGAAAATAAATAGAAAATACGGAGGAAAATATCGTCACTTGTGGCTTTCTTTTCAAGAAAATAGAGCTGAATTTTTTCCGGGTACGCATGCACTTAACTATGTCACGGTTAAACAGATCTGGATATACTATATCATATGATGTAGGTTTATGAGTAATAAAGCATGCAATTCGTATGATTTATTTTATTAATACAAAAAATTGTTGAAAATACTGGCGAACATACTGCATACACATGTCTGATTAAATTCTCGTGCATGCTTTCCAACGTATTTTCCGTTTTTATTTCTACGAACGCCAAATTAATCCTTGCTTTTAATTATGGAAGGCTTGCCTTGCCTTTTGAATAAACTTTTAATTTAATATAACTCCACAGATAAAAATCAAGAGGTTCGCGTTTCCATAAATGAACAAAGCAAATAATGGTTTTATCGAGTTCTTTTTAATCACGACATAGCCAAATGGATGCGTATTCGGAGGAGAATCAAAGTCGAAAAAAGATTTATTTCATATTTTCGTACGTACAATCAACTCCTCCATGGTTGTACCATTAATATTGGGACACCGTGTATAAGCTAATCTCGTTTATTAATTTATAATAGAAATCTAATTAGTAAGCAAGAATTTTTATTAAAATTCCTCTCTTTGCTTACAATCGCCACGAGAGGCTATTCAAGTGAAGAGCATTACATTACTTTGTTGTGTTACGTAAATTGCAGTAAAGAAATGTGCAAGAGAATTCTTTATAATTCCTTCAAATATAAGGTTGCTTCTAAACTTCTTGACTGTAGTTGATGTACGACGTTATGTATGAATATACGAGATGATGTACGAAATTTACGAGTTTGAAAAGTTTTGGTGATGGTCAGACTCTTGAATGGGTTGACTGCTTGGATGAACTGTCTTGAAATCGTTGGAGACTTCCTAGTAGTGGTAGAAATTGCATTGACGCTGAAACCGAGTACAATACTAGAGAGTAAAACGAAATATTGCAGTATACCGTTGTATACTTATACCGCTGCATGCACACGTTGAGTTCTGACATTCCAAGCCATTTAAGATCTCCGTAAACTTAAAACAATTTCAAACTCAAGTGAGTATTGGAACGCGATAGCGAAACTTCGGATCAGGAGTATGAACGGACGCCCATCGCTAAACGCGACGACGACGTAACGCGACGCAGTAAACACGCGCACAGATCGACACGTATACACGTCAGGTGGTGAGCACGAGTATTCGTTTTGAGCAGAAAAATAGCAGAAAGAAAGACAGAAGAAAATATGGGGGAACATAACGAGCAGCTCCGTTTGCCGCACGAGCCGCGTCAAACCGATGGCTTCCGCTTGCTCGATATGCAATCGTAAAAAATAGAAATTAATCATTTCTTAATATCTACGAATCTGGGTTGGTATCTTATCCTTCCTGCCACAACTGAAAATGTAGACAAAGAAAGAAGCATTCAAGCATTAACATTTTAATAATAATTGTAATTAATTAGAATTTGCGTAGAACAGTAAAAAATGAGGAACACATGTCATTGATCGCATTCATTCGAGGCAAGGATAAATCATTATAAAAAAAGTCCATTTATATTTGGTATAAAATGGAAACTATCCGGTTGCACTTAATTCAACGGAAGTATGTACTTCCTCTTCACGCGTGCCTGAAAGATCATAATGAAAAACGAGGGGAAGTATTCGTTCGTCGTATGTACGCTTTTCAAGCGGAACTTCTCTAGAAACACATGGACTTCCGTCACGAACGACTCGGTTAATTACGTGTTGGGGACAGATGCCGTGGCTCGAGACCACGTGCGGCATAGAAATTGGTGAATTTCATTGTGCACGCAACCGTTTCGCATAAAGTCACGCGATCGCTCGAACATTAAACGTGTGCCAATTTTTTCCTTAAGTATGTATGTTGAGCAACAGACGCGTGCCACAAGGCCCTTCTGTTACGACTTCAATTTCTTGGATGTATAGTATAACCATTTTGAATTAACTACTTCGAAAAATATGTCAGAACATAAACAGAATAGTCCGAAGCTTCCTAAAACTATCAGCAGAGTGTTTAGACTAGCAACAAATAATGCAAATTAATTTGATGGAGAGCGCTCTAACTTCCAAATCTTATTGCTACGTGAACTGTTATTAATCTAATCATCATTCAACTAAATAGTAACTTAGATCTACGTGCAAACTATCCACATTCATCATGTATAACTCCTTGCAATAAATCAACTGTTCATAGGAGAACCGTGAGTAACATGGATTTCATAAATGTCAATTTTGGACCGTGGATCGTGGCATAAATCATCGAGCGATCGCGTTAGCCACGAAGTGTCTCTAAATCGAGTGGGGATCACGCGGAAATTAAATCAGTCCGTAAAAGGGAAGGAGGGTGGATACCTAACCCGGTTTACTAGTTAGGTTGAATGTGGGGCAGTCGAGCGGCGGGACAAAGCGATCGGGCGGCGCGCACGGGAAACGTGCGACTGCGAAGTCGTATTCGTCCTGGCGATTATCCAGGTGATCGTGGCAGCCGCGATTTTTAGCCGCAGCAGACTCATACAATTAGTGTGTGTGCCGTAAATATTTTTTGGGCATGCGTTTTACAAAATATAATAGATGCTTCCCTCAGACATTAATTCGTAATTGTTTTTCTTAATTTTTTTTTTCTTCACATCAGTCAATCGATGATTTGCATTACGTTAGACAGTTTTTAAAACCAGACCCGCGGCTCCCCATATTTTCCGTTTCTCTTCTGTTCTCGTTCCGTTCGTGTTCAAACCCTCTCTATATGGTGACTGTTTTTTCTGCACCGGATTGGCTTTTTTCAAAATTCTCTACCTCGCATTGTTTTCGTCTACGTTTTCGTGTTCGACGCAAACTCAGGTACCACGCAGTTTTTCTGGCACCACCCGTGGGACACGGTTTGTCAGCGAAGTTTGAAAACGAGGAAGGAAACCGATTTTCGGTACAGGCGGACAATCGCTGGCTACCCTTTTTCGTTCCCTCCGACTATATTTTTTTTTTTCCTATTTCACAGTTTGCTGCGAAATTTGCATACTCAGTATGGATTATCGATATGTATTCATTATATAATATATATATAATATACATTCTATATACATACGTATTGTACATTACGTGAATGCCGTATTAATTTTTGGGCATGTTTCGTCAGTTGCTTATTCTGCGGTAGGTTACCGTGTATTGTTCTGGAAAATGACAATTTTTTCATTTTCATTTTTTATCTTTAATCTTGTTAACGTCCTCTCATACTTTCCGTTCGATTTATACCTTAACGTTTTGTAAACACGTTTCCGTTTTGGAACCGTTTTGTCTGACATTTTCTTTTCGAGAGCGTAGTGTGTTCTCGTAGTGGTTTTTCGCCGGTCAGATATTTTTGCGCCGACCATGCGGCAGGCTGAGTAACACTTAGACTTTGAGACTTCCTTAGTTAGACCATTCCCCGGAATCATTCGCCGGCTGAGCTTAATCGTTCAATCACGCCGCAACGTGGTTCAAGTGCTCCATTAGCCTCGTCAAAAAAGAAACGAAAGCGATACAAACTATAAAGTCACGCGATCGCTCGAACATTAAACGTGTGCCAATTTTTTCCTTAAGTATGTATGTTGAGCAACAGACGCGTGCCACAAGGCCCTTCTGTTACGACTTCAATTTCTTGGATGTATAGTATAACCATTTTGAATTAACTACTTCGAAAAATATGTCAGAACATAAACAGAATAGTCCGAAGCTTCCTAAAACTATCAGCAGAGTGTTTAGACTAGCAACAAATAATGCAAATTAATTTGATGGAGAGCGCTCTAACTTCCAAATCTTATTGCTACGTGAACTGTTATTAATCTAATCATCATTCAACTAAATAGTAACTTAGATCTACGTGCAAACTATCCACATTCATCATGTATAACTCCTTGCAATAAATCAACTGTTCATAGGAGAACCGTGAGTAACATGGATTTCATAAATGTCAATTTTGGACCGTGGATCGTGGCATAAATCATCGAGCGATCGCGTTAGCCACGAAGTGTCTCTAAATCGAGTGGGGATCACGCGGAAATTAAATCAGTCCGTAAAAGGGAAGGAGGGTGGATACCTAACCCGGTTTACTAGTTAGGTTGAATGTGGGGCAGTCGAGCGGCGGGACAAAGCGATCGGGCGGCGCGCACGGGAAACGTGCGACTGCGAAGTCGTATTCGTCCTGGCGATTATCCAGGTGATCGTGGCAGCCGCGATTTTTAGCCGCAGCAGACTCATACAATTAGTGTGTGTGCCGTAAATATTTTTTGGGCATGCGTTTTACAAAATATAATAGATGCTTCCCTCAGACATTAATTCGTAATTGTTTTTCTTAATTTTTTTTTTCTTCACATCAGTCAATCGATGATTTGCATTACGTTAGACAGTTTTTAAAACCAGACCCGCGGCTCCCCATATTTTCCGTTTCTCTTCTGTTCTCGTTCCGTTCGTGTTCAAACCCTCTCTATATGGTGACTGTTTTTTCTGCACCGGATTGGCTTTTTTCAAAATTCTCTACCTCGCATTGTTTTCGTCTACGTTTTCGTGTTCGACGCAAACTCAGGTACCACGCAGTTTTTCTGGCACCACCCGTGGGACACGGTTTGTCAGCGAAGTTTGAAAACGAGGAAGGAAACCGATTTTCGGTACAGGCGGACAATCGCTGGCTACCCTTTTTCGTTCCCTCCGACTATATTTTTTTTTTTCCTATTTCACAGTTTGCTGCGAAATTTGCATACTCAGTATGGATTATCGATATGTATTCATTATATAATATATATATAATATACATTCTATATACATACGTATTGTACATTACGTGAATGCCGTATTAATTTTTGGGCATGTTTCGTCAGTTGCTTATTCTGCGGTAGGTTACCGTGTATTGTTCTGGAAAATGACAATTTTTTCATTTTCATTTTTTATCTTTAATCTTGTTAACGTCCTCTCATACTTTCCGTTCGATTTATACCTTAACGTTTTGTAAACACGTTTCCGTTTTGGAACCGTTTTGTCTGACATTTTCTTTTCGAGAGCGTAGTGTGTTCTCGTAGTGGTTTTTCGCCGGTCAGATATTTTTGCGCCGACCATGCGGCAGGCTGAGTAACACTTAGACTTTGAGACTTCCTTAGTTAGACCATTCCCCGGAATCATTCGCCGGCTGAGCTTAATCGTTCAATCACGCCGCAACGTGGTTCAAGTGCTCCATTAGCCTCGTCAAAAAAGAAACGAAAGCGATACAAACTGAAAAAAAAAAAAAATATGAATGGTGAATCTTCACGCGAGATTGCGTTCGAGAATCGAGATCGGCAACGGTGACGCGTCAAAAGACTGCTGGAACAAAGGCGAAAACGATGACTGAGATTCTCTGCGTTCTTTCACTCGTCAGAGATCGCTAATTAACAAAAATCACGCTGATTTACACACGACTGCTAAAGAAAAAGATATAAAATAAAAAAGAAACACCGCGCACCATGGTTCGAGGACGTTTGTATGTACAAGCACCGTTACGGTTCATAACAGGTTCACGCTGTGTCTCGTTAACTAATACTAGTTTGATATATACCGACCCGATAAATTATTTGTTCACCTTGTTGCTACTTGTTATTGGGGGTATCAAACGTTCACACGTATACTGCACACGGTAAAACGAGGTGAGGGGTCACGCTTCAATATCACTACTAACTTACACTGTATTCTTCTACACACTTCTGCATTTCCTCATACGCATTTTTCATTCCTGTCTAAATATTCTTTAGAATCTCCCTATCTTGAAATACTTAAACGTATGTTAAGAAAAAATAACATTTGAAGCAATTCTTTTAGAGATCTTTGCACGTTGCAATATGCATTACGTGAATTTTATAGAATTTCTCATCTAAAAAACGAATCTGGAAACAAAACTGCTCTATCACTTACCGTTTTTGCAAAATTGCGGATTTTTGTAAAAATGCATGAATTGAGGAAAATTAAGTAATGCACGGGAAAGATTTTCTATAACATATTCATGTTTGTTTTCGTACTTAGTAATAATTGTAAGTAATTGTTGAAGTTTTAAAAAGAGCTGACGCGAATATATTTTTTTTTTAATTTTATTATTTAGAATCGTATCAATCTGAAAAGATTATTAGCGACCATAACTGTACATTATTACTTAATAAATCAATTTGCTTTGTAACGTTGAATGAATATCTTTACGTATACAATTTTTGAATTTATTTGAAAATCTCTTTATCCAAGAATTTAATATACAGTATTGGATTCTACAGTTACTTCTCATAAAGAAACCATTCAATATGAGTATCGGTTTACTTTGATACCTCAGCAATTTCCAAAAATATTCATCGACAACTTGACCAATTATTTATAACTATTAAAAAATACAAAAAATCAAAGTGGCTTACATGAATATAGAAAGTCTCTTGTACCTCTTGATTTCAAAATAAACTTTCTTTAGTTTTCAAGTAATATTTGATCTTTCCTGAAAGTCATGCATTTTTATATGAATTGCTACCTTTCGGAAACGGTACGCGATAGAGCAACTCTGCTTCCGCATTTGTTTCTGGCATGGGAAACTCTATAGGGATCACGTAGTGAATATTGAAAAAAAAATGAAAAAAAGTTTTTCTGTTGGACTGCGAATCGAATGCAATAATAGAGTTTGATTCAATAATCCAAGTGCTGGGAACCTAACAAAGAAAAAATAACGATTTATTTTTATTCATCACGCACAATTGCGAATTCGCGATTCGATTTTTGTTTTCCATAAGCCACGGGTCAGCGATCTGCAATCAAATTTTATATCGGTCAAAGTTTCATTGAATACAATTGTATTACATTATTTTTTTATCTGCAAATTTTACAGTTGCAGCGAGTTGTGATGTGTAAAGGTATAAATAAATTGTGTTCCCATTTTGCACAGTAAAAGAATGAAAGATGCTCTGAATATGAAAAATTTGTACTTATGAAATGAAAAGAAAAATTGCTACTTTGTTAGAGAAAACCAATAACCTGTTCAATTTCCTCCCCATTCAACAATTTAATTCCAATTTCACTCTATCAATGAAACTTTCCTCCATGAATTCAATCTTGTCGAAGCAATTCTAAACGTTCATCCGCATATCCGCGTTTTTTTTTTAAAGAAGAGTCTTGAACCTTATCTCATCTCCTCCACATTTTCAATTCGCTTCATTTATAACCAATGCTGAATGTATTACTATTAAAATATGTAATTATTTCGAGCTTCGAGTAGCCTCAATTAAAATCCTAAAGTTTATTGAGAGGAATTAATGAAAAATTTATCTATAGCTTAACTGAAATGCTAATCGTGATACAATTATACAGAAATTTATTTAATGCATGAAATTAATTAATTCTGTTGGCATAAAATTAGAAGGAAAGGGAATTTAAAAATTTATTGATACAAATATTTTTCGAAATCTGTTCAAACTTAATGTTCTACAAATCGAGATCATTTCTTTGTATCTGATTTCTCATTCCTACAGAAATATTTGAAAATTTCTCGAGAAATTTAAAATAAGTGCATTTCTAATCGTGCATATTCAAAGTAGCCACCGTTTGTCAAAATCAGAACGAGACGTTTGACGTCGACTCCCGGTCCCGTTTCCTTCGTCAATGCGTCACGGTCGATCGAACGATGTTCCTGCGCCCATTCGAATTGACAAACGGCGTCATTAATTCCTGGACCTTCTACTCGTCGACGAGCAGTTATCGAGGTTCGAACGTCTAACCGACAGCCGAACAAGGAGCAATAACGATCAGTGATTGCATTCAATTGGCCGATACATATTAGCTGTACCGCTTTTGTACGTCGACAATTTTTTTACACATTGTTTGAAAAGAATTTCAGTTTTATTTGTGATATATGGAGATGGGAACGTGTAGAAACATATATTTGTTAAAAGTAAAACAACGCTTTTAAATTTGGAACGTGCTACGCATAATCAACATTATTGATCTGTTATTCCAAATTCAAAATTTACTCTTGTGAAATGTTTTATTATTAGACTTATTCGAATGTAAAATTAATCGAACAGACAAGAACATTGCTAATCATATTTTAGTGATCTAAAACATTGGTCGAAGTAATGCTAGCTTAGTAACATCTTCGAAATTCGCATCAGCCAACAAAACACAGGAGTCAGCAACTTGAAAACACAACACAGCGTGACACCCTCTGAGTAAGCTTCTTGTAGAAAGCCAAGGGTAGTAGGTGGTAACACGGGCAAGGGATCGGTACAGCTTTACAACTAACGACACGAGACTCTAGAACGCCTTCCGCATCCGTAGTTAAGTACTCAGGGACGAACTAACTATATCATACGTTAATCGTAATACTTAAGAACGCGCCAGGAACGGAAAAGGCAGGCGACGACGGGAACTGTAGCGAGGCAATGATCGATCGATTAGCCAAGTACCTTAGTTTGTACCGCAGCTCTGCTATGTATACCTATCCGTAGATTATCTTATCAGCGGGATGGCGTTTCTTTTGTTGGCAATCACGTATCAGCGAATGCAAAGAGAGTAAGAAACCATTCAGGGTCAGTGGTACGAGTTCGATGAATCGCATGGTGACATTTCGTCACGAGACGAGTAAAAAAAAGAAAACCAAAAAAATACAAGCCGGTAATAAAAGCAGAATTTAGCCTTGTATTTTTCGATATACACGATATATCTATCATAGGTGATTTCCGTTCTCGTTTCTATTTCCGTTTCCCGTTTCCCGTTTGTTAAGTCTCGGCTCCTCCGACCCGACTCGGAGCCCCGTTCCGTCCGCCTTGGCGGCCGATCCGAATCTTCTAACACGTGCTTTTGGTGTGTGTGTCGACAGCTCGGGAATCGAGAATAACCCGACGGTGTTTTACCGGCTAATGCCTGGGTCCACCGCGCAGACGAACAAGTTTCACACGTTTTACCTCCAGCAACGTGCCGAGAAGGCCGTCACCTGGGCCGACATCAAGGTCAACCATCAATTGGATTACGAGAGCATAAAGGAGTACAATCTGACTATACGAGTCGAGGTACGTTCAATAAACCGCGGGTAAAAACCTTATTCCGTCCGCGTTGCATTTTCGGCTTTCGTTTCGCTTTGGGTATTGTTGCGTGCGACGGATGCTTGTTTCGAAGAGCTATCCCGCTGCTCACTTTGGTATGCAACCGGGCGCGCGAGGGAGAGTCTCGCCGAACGGGCGGGACTCCGAGGAAACTCGCTGGTAAACGAGTTGCAACTGTTTTCAGTTAGCGCTTCGGTAAACGTGAGAGGCACGATACCGCGGTTCGCCTTTTCAGCGGCTGTTACCCTATTCTTATCGGTTTTACCGAGTTCTGAAAGTTAACTCGGTGGAAAAATATGTAGTTCCTACTCGAAACAATTACCAACCCACTTGGCATGCACAAATGCAAAAAGAAAATTCTTCCAGCCAAAAAGAGTGGACTATCTACTCACTATGCAGTATAAGTGGTTTGAATATTTCTAATCTAATCGGCAGTAACAGTTTGACGGGGATAAACAATTTTAATCGTCTGCGATTTAACTTAATTTATTTAGGATTATTATAATTAAAGGAATAAATTAATTATTTAACACGGTATTCATCTGGAGATAAAGTGATCGAACATATTATTTCTAATTGCATCACGTATATGCCATCATATAATAGTGGTCCAGCTAAGTATCTCCTTCATTTAGGATGATAGGAAAAATATTTTATGACCCGAACATCAGAGTGAACTTAAATTTTTAGGGAGAGGAATAAAGAACTCTGACTGTAAAGTTTTATTATATGGGTCTTTATTAGTTTTTGAGATATTAATAAAAAAAACTTTTATTGAAAGTAAATGGTATTAATAAATAAATGCTAATAAATGGTAATAATAAATAAATGTAAAAGTTTTCTTCTGAGTTTTGAGCATCAACGATATAATTATTAAAATATCAGACATATATTTGCAGTTTTTCGCTGCTGAAAATAAATTAAAATGGAGTTTATATACAATATAATAATTTCAAAATTCAAGTCGGAAATCGTTTTGAGTAGCTATACGTGCAAACCATGTTCAGCTTTCTTTCGAGTTTCAATATGACATCTATTTCACCATTGTCAGTCGGTCGCAAAACATATAATTTCATTTGAATAACTATTGTCCTCTAATCTACTTAAAAACTGGCAACCAGGTAACTTCGAAATCCGCTTATACGAGTCGTGTCCCATTTTTACTTCAACGCAGGAAGATACTTCGTCGGTACACACTGGAATCTTTATTGTTCCGAAAGTACAAACCGCGGATCTAGTCTTCACGATGTCGCATCGTTTCTATGTTAATGCTTATTCATCCGACGAGATGACTCTTCTCCTGTTTCCATTTGCTTGACCCGTTTTTCACGAAAATTCGTCGCCTCGGTTTCGCTGAATCATTCAAAGCGATGAGATGCAACGTGAGACCAACTCACGTATTCCAAATTCCTTGGAAAATTCATCGAGTCTAGAAGCACAGGTCCCACGTCTCTGTTCCTTCTGTCTCGCACCTTAAATTCTTTTTTCCAAAACTACATTGAATTTTTCCAAGTATTATATACTCATAGCTTATTTGAGAACGTTTAATCGCATCCAAGTCCTTCAGACAAGGAGTAAGGGACGCATTTTTTTCTCAAGATTAAGAGTATTCGGAATGAGTCAACGAATCAGGTAGAAAATGCTAGGAACACGTGAGATAAGAGTAATTTTCTTCTACAGAACAATGGTGCTCAACAACTCGCTTCTGAAGCAACCGTCCACATTGTCTTGGAGGACGTTAACGACGAAATACCTTTGTTCACCGAGCGCGAGCAAGAAACTGTACTCGAGGGTGAACCGGTCGGCAGTAAGGTTACTCAAGTCAACGCGATTGATAAGGATGGCACTTTCCCGAACAATGAGGTGAGCAACCGTCTCCAGACTATTTTATTTAACGCACAAAATGCTTCATCTATAGCTACGTGAGATATAGCAAACTTAGACTCCCAAATAACGTGAGTTCTTACAACGCGAATCCCTATAGCGCGCCAAAGATAACGCGACTACTGTTTTCATATAACGCAGTTCTTCATGCAACACGGGAAATAATAAAACACAGGAATTACATGATTTAAGATTGAAATCTGTTTTCGTTGAATTAGAGATTCCTTCCTTCATTGTTACCGGCTTTCGTTTTTGGAATTTGATTCTGCATAATTTGGACAATGACAAATAATAAAGATTGTGAAAGTATTTTTTAATTCACAAAATCTTAAAAAACATAATACATGTACAATTATATTTTTATTAAATTTTCAATTAAA